TTGTGGTAACAACTTTTGCATTCCGTGATTAATATCTTTAATTTCATCATTCTTATAACTACGTGCATTTGAGTTTGTTTTCATCAGAGGTACTTTTCTATATACCCAAGTAATATTAAGGAACACAAGACATTTTTGATAATAATAATAATAATAATGATAGTAAAAAATGTTTCCATTTATTAAGCATACCTAATGGACCAGGTACTGTATTTGGTGTGTTATGCCATCTTTTAGTAATCATACTCACAAATAGCCCATGGCAGGGGTCTCCAACTCCTGGACCATGAACAAATACAGGTTCATGGCCTCTTAGGAGCTGGGCCACACAGCAGGAAATGAATGGTAGGCAGACAAGTGAAGCTTCCTCTGTATTTAGAGCTGACTCCCATTGCAGGTATTACCACCTGTGCTCTGCCTCTTGTCAGATCAGCACCAGCATGGGATTCTCATAAGATCATAAACCTTGCTTTGAACTGAAGTGGGTAAGGGGGATCTTGGTTATGCACTCTTTATCAGAATCTAATCCTGAAAAATCCATCTTGTCCAAACTCCATCCTTGGAAAAATTGACTTCCACCACAAAACTTGTCCCTGGTGCCGAAAGACTGGGTGATGACTTTTCTATGATATAGATATTATCATTGCCCTAATTTAATAGGGAGAAACACCGGGAGGGCTAAGTAATTAGCTTAATGTCAAACGCATTTTGATGGGCAGGAATTATCTTTTTGTGTGTGTGAAGGCAAAATTTCTGTTAATTTTTTCTCGTGATTTAATTGCCCCAAATCTCTGTGTCTCAGTTTGCTCACATCTGTACTGGGAATAATGAAAACTTTTTTGGGGGGGAGGAATAATAATACTGAGTTAACATGAAAATGAGCTGATAATATACGTTGAGGACTTACTTCAAGACACATTGCAAGCACTCACTTGATGCTAAGTGACACCACAAGAATGATGATGGTGGTTGTGATGGTGATGCTGATACACTGAGAAAGGTTCCTTTAGTTTTTGGGCTGAGTTACAGAATTTGTGGATGAGAATATGCTGGAACTATCACTTGCTTGCCCATATTTTTTCAGTATCTGTGATTAGACCAAAATGTGAAACGTGAGAGAGGATCAAGTAGCAAAGATGAATTCAAAGCCAGTGTTTTGAATCTGCCCCTGAGTTTTCAATATATCTCTCCACTTTAATTGTAGAAAAATCAATACTACCCTGCTCTCACTGGTCTCATGTAACTTTTAATGTTGATTTTTTTCTGGAAATTCAAACTTCTGGTCCTTAATAAACTTGTAATGCCATCTTGTAAGAGTGTAGTTAACCTCTGGCCTCAACCTCTGATGACTTTGCCAATCACTTGTTTTTCTTCCCCTTTAACAATTATCATTCTATCATTACAGGATGCCCAGAGAACAAAATAAAATTTCAACTCTCACATATTCCCATTCCTCAACTCTGCTTTTCTTGCTGTCCTATTCATTCCACATTTATTTGTTTGCAAGCAGATACTGACAGTTGCTAACATCTAATTTAGGGGAATAAAAAGAAACATGAATTAAGTTCCTAAACTTGCTCTGTGATCTTCTATTTCAGAATTGGTTTTCTCTCTGAATTATTTGCACTGTATTGATCAAACTGTATTATTGATCTACTACAAGAACGATCTTTTCACATATACACACAAACAGAAACACTGTTTTCCACTCACCTCTCAAGTAAGCAGCATGCACAATGTTCATAATGTATGTATTGCCATTTTGCATTTAAGGCCCTGTTTAAACTTTTCTAATTCACTTCTATATATTTTATAATCCACTGAATCAAAATCAACCATCTTTTTTGTTAACTAGACTTCAAGGTCTTTGCTTCTTTTATTTTGCTTAATTTCCTTAATAATTAAGCCAGTGTAGTTCTCAAAACTCTAAGTTAATTAGCCATCTAATAGCAACACAGAACCATAGAAATAAATTCTCACTGTAAAGCGAATAGAGAGTTATGCTTATCAGTAAACCTGTTTGGAATAAATTGTGCTTTAAGGGACCTATTCTCAGGTGCGATTATTGACATTTCTCCATTTTACTATTGAAGTCCTTCGTCCAGCTTTAGGTCATTTTTTTTTACTTGGGACTTTGTGGCTATGATGGTTTCTAGAGTTATTTTCATTGTAAGATGATACTGACACCAGTTCATTTTCCAAGAAGAAACAAAATCAAAATTCAAACTATACATTTTAGAATTTCTTTGGGCCTATAAGATCCAATTTTTTATAAATAAAATTAAGCCATGTCTTAAAAATTTATAACAAGGTATACAACATGGAAAAAATCTTTTTAAAATTATAATATCGTTAAAGAAAAAATACAATTGGAATGAGATGCTCTGTCTTTAACTAGACCTTCTAGTAATTACCCAGGCAGTTTTATAGACTAGTACTTTACTACAGTGATTCTTTATTCTGGTAATGTAGTTTTGATGACAGTGGAAAGAACTGCTGAACAGTGTTTTAAGTTAAAACTCAATCTGATTCATGAAAATGAAAACAAACAAACAAACCTAAAACAGCATCATGATATACATTCTCTCTAAACAAACAGCATTTTCTAGAAATGGAATCTATTAATTTTATGAGAAAGTAGTGTTTCTATATATACAGCAGCATACATTGTCATATATGATATAGGACAAATGAACCAGACAAGTCTCTTACTTTTACTGCACTGACATTTATTTGTGTACTGTAAAATATTCTGTATTCTACAACTAAAGGACTTTGCGGAAAGGTCAAAGTAGATATATGATTCAAAGAATCAAATAATTGAAAATAGGCAGCAAAAAGGAAGATGAAATGCCTGGATTTAGTTGGTCTAGAAATGTACACTAATATTTTCATGTGTCCTCTTAGGCTTTTTATATTTCCATTGGAAAAAAATACATAGAACTAGAAATAGGCTAAAGCAATAGACATTTATGTTAGAGAAAAGAAATACTGTCTGGATACATAAGATCTTTAGGCCAATTCCAATGGCAGTTGTAAAATTATTTCTGAAAGTCACTTTGTTGGGATAGTTTTTTTATGATTATGAAGTAGAGAAGCTCTTTTCTAGATCTATTTTTAGAAGCATAGATTAAAATTAATGAAATATTAACATAAGGATTGATTTTCTTGGCATGAGCACGAAATGTAACAAAATAATCACAAAACAACTTATTCCTTTGAAGTGTTTGTTTAAGGTATAATAAATTTTGAAGGGAAATTTTTGCATTTGAGAAAATTTCATTATTTAGTGATGTTGGTTCGTTCTTTTAATGATTTTTTTCCACATTAGTGACATTTGTGCAGTTTTAAATCCTTTTTAAAACAGAAATTCCAATTCTCTCTTCAAAGAAGCCTTCTATTGGACCTGATCATACTTCATTATGGATAGCTATTTGACAGAAAGATACTGTGGTGTAAGAATATGTAAATTATCAACCAGGGTCCTGTGGTTCCACTCTCATCTCTTCTATTGGCTATTGGGATGACCTTGGACAGGTGGCTTTTGAATGTTATTCTTTGACTTCCTTGTTGGCACCTCAAGAGAGTGTCAGAAGTCATAAGCTCCTATGCTCTTTGCCTGACATTCTATTGAGGAATTTTCTTAAATCATTATTTAGATAAGTCAGAATGATATATATATATATATATATATATATTTTTTTTTTTTTTCAGTGTTCTGGGGATTGAACCCAGAGCTTTGTCCATGATAGCAAATATTCTATCACTGAGCTACAACCTAGCCCCAGATTTTCATTTTTAACACTTCAAAAATAATTTTCTCACATTTTAAAAGCCTTAAATTACTAGCAAATAATTAAAAGTCATCAATATAAGTTATCCTAGCACAGAGATTAAGAATAAATTAGCTAACATAGTAAGTGGTCACCTTGTACTGTATAAAAGCATATAATTGAAACCATTATTTGATTTTTTAAGATCTGTCACAATTTCTCTCCATCTTTCATTTATGTGGTTTGTGTTTATCTAGTAAATTTAGAAATGTACATGAATATTTGTTTCCTTTACATACTATTTTATATTATTCTAAAAAATAATGATTTTCATTGCAAGTATTCGCAATTATAGCAGTATATTATGTATTATAAGCCCATACTGTTTCAATCATTACTCAATTCTTTACTTCTATATTGAATATTTAAATATTAAGACATTTTAAATAGATTTTAATCCAAGAGAAACATATGATTGCATGAAGTACGGACATATGATCAGTTTTCATATGATTGTACTCATTTTGGCTGCCTCAAAATAGTACTCAGTGTCAAAATAGTAGTGTCCTTTACTTAACAAAAAATATTCACACAAAACATGATGTGAGCAGCGAATCCAGAAAATTTACTATAAATTGTATCCAATTCTGAGATTAAATACCAGTTACAACAGAAATAATTTCTGAAATTTTGTGTTTCCTTTTTTAAAATGAAATTTTAAAGATGTACGTTGGTTAAAATTGGTTTGAGAAAATATTGAAGAATCCAACCTTCCTAGTTTTAAATCAGGCACAAAATATTCTTTGGAGATTTATTAAGAAAAAATCACTTTAGTGGTATCTCTTCTTGGCAAAAGAAGCTAGGAAGGAAGGATTCACTCACACCTTCCACTTTCGTGAGAAGATGTTTTATATTATGCCATACAATAGGAAAATAGTCCTTACAGATCTATTAATAAACGAGTTGAGGATAAAAAGAGATCCACATAAAATGCTACTTTATGGAGGAAAAGAGTCAAATCTGTCTGGGTCATATTTTAGAGATGACATTTTGCTAAAAGGATTTGACTCAGTTCTCTACTTAACTTTTTGCTCTTCTGATTTCAGGGTTTAACTCTAAGACCTAGGGAGTCACCAAGTGAGTGCAAGATGCTGTCATTACTCTCACACTCTGCTTCTCCGCTTCTCCACAGATCCCTCAGAGCATAAAGACATCCCAGGCTCTTACCTAGACTCCTAGGAGGAGCTGCAGCGCCAGGCAGGACACCATTCAGACCTCAGGCTAGGAAAGAAGTCCGTCCCTGGTAGCTTCTCCAAAACATAAGTTCACGTTTCGCGGTTGAGATCATGGCTCTATTCTAAGCAGTTTTATGCAGTGTGTGATTCTAACAAAAACACCCTCCGCAGCTGGAGGCAGCCTCAGCTAAAGCCGGATCCTGTCAAGGCGTTCCCACTGACTTCTGTCTACTAAATTCAGACTGATGTTTTGCGAAGGGGGCCTCCACAACCAGGCCCAGATTGCCTGGAAAGTATTTCCTGCCTCTGAGAAGTGTGCATGTGAGAAAAGACTGCGAAGCAGAGGGGAGGGGGAGAGCTGAGCAGTCTGGGCATTTCAGGAGTTCTGATTTTACACAGAACTGAAGTGAGTTTGTCAGAGCTCTTGAGGTGATTAGCTAGAGAGTCATAAAGTCCTAGAGCTTTTTCTGTCCCACACTGCCTATGAGAAAAGGGAGGGGAGAAAAAAAGACAGAAAGAAAAACATAGTTCCCTCTCCATCTACCACTTTTCCATTATATTAAATATATATACACAGCTCAATCAAAAGAGCTTTGCCAACAATCATTTCAAAAGACCTTTTAGCACAACAAAATGAATTTAGAATTTTAATATCATTATTATTCTAAAAATTTTAAACCTTTAAAAATATTAGCTAAAATTTAAAATGCTTCAGCCTTACATGCTGTACCTGAGAAAATCTGTAAAATCTCGAGAATCCAGTAAGTCGAATATTTTCTTCCAGTTCTCTCTGAGCCCAAGAATTCTTCACAGAATCAAGTAGTTTAGTTTGTGTTACAGCGTCTGCTGCATTACCTCTAGCCAGAATTCTCCAGGGTTACACAAATCCAGTGCTGGAGAAGCAGAAGACAGACTCCATCTTGATCATATTAGAGTCTTGCTGACACTAAACACTTGCAACTGCTTCCCTCTAGCCTGACAGAGTCCCAGAATCACATCTCTAAAGTGGTTCACATTCTCTGTATCCTTGGTCCGACACAAATTTTGTGAACTATCATCTGTTTATCTTTGCTGCTTTCTTGTGCCTCCACTGAATGACTTCCTCCTAGCTGCTCCAGGCTGGGAACTTGGACTACCATTTGGTTTTGATTAAAACCAGACAGCTAACTCTGGAGAATTTAGGGAATAAGCTAATGGAAACTGCAAGTATGGCTTTAATTAGCATATCAATTAATAATAGATGTTAGATTGTCTTATAATAAGATGTCACAAATACAAATGCTCAAGTCATTTCAGGAAAGAGGTTGTACAATTCTCTTTCCTTTATGAACCAGAAATCTCGATAGGGGAAGTGGAAGGAAAGAAGAGAGAGGTGGCCTTGGGACATCCAGGTTGTGAAGAGGCCAGTGGGGTGGCTTCATTGTTTATAAGAGAGAGGCAGGAAACAGCATCTCTGAGTTTAATTATCTTGTTTGGTTGAAATTGCTCAGTAAAGTCTCCCTTCTTCTTTATTTACAATCAATGGATCCTATTGCTATTTGTGACTTAAGCATTTTTTTCTCAGGGGTTGATTAGCAGATTAATCTAATTGTTGGATCTATGTGGAGATTTCACATTTCTAGAGTTTTAATAACAAAAAGTATAAGAATCATTCTAATTTTGATTTGATAAATGAGTAGCATATAAGGAGGTATAAGAAATGTCAAGTCTGTTTGCGCTAACACCCATCCTCTTCTCTGAAACTGTAAATACTTATAGTTCACATTTATTCTAAGTTGGCTCTGATATTTATAACAGCAAGCTGGTCCTCAGATATCACAATGACCATCTTTGTTAAACTCCCTGAGAACACTGGATAGGTGATAACTTGGAGAAGTATGATGTATAGCTACTGTTCCCTAAAATCTCTCAAAATTAATGCAGAACATGAGATATTTTGGTGACATATAAAATAGTAAAAATTACTTTTACCATGCATGAATTTGAAGATGAGAAGTATTCATATAAAAACATGTAGGCAGAAACAGTTTTAAAAATGTAGATTAAAATCTTACTGATAATAAAATGAACATTTGAATTCTTTTAATTTAACCCTCAATGATACCCAAAAAGGAAGTTCATTCTTTCATAAATTCTTTAAACTGTATTTATATTTCAATTGCTTCCATGGACGCCTATGCCCATTTCAACTTCCTGATACTCTTTGTGTGTGTTTTTATTTTTATTTTGTAGATAAAGCATTATGAAGTAATTTTCTCTCAGTCAAATGATGGAAAGTGGCCAGTCCTACATTAAAACTGAATTCCTCCAAACTCTAATGATTTGTGTTTCATTTTTTCCTCTATAAACAGCCCCCACTGACCTCCACTTAATTATGGTGTGAAACTAGAAAGACTTACACTCTGAATTTCAGACCCCTTTTTAAAAGTAGAGACAATTTCATATAACTAGTAGATTGGAAGCCAGGATTAAATTTATATGCATGTATATTTATATTTATTGCTCTAAGGAAAATATTGGAATGGAATGAGAATTGAGATAACTGCTTTCCTAAAATAACCTGCATATCTTTATCTTGCGTCTATCTCTGCCTCTGGTCCTAATATATGGTGGCTGCTCAACATATGAACAGCCTCCCAAAGCTTCTTGAGTTTCCTCACAAATTCTATAACCTCACTGGCCTACTGCCCCACATAATTTGCTTTGTTTCTGTTTATACTGGCCTGAGAAAATAACAAAACCCTATTCACATGTATTTATAAAATGTTTTTTTAGATATCTAGACACTCTTATTAGTTTCTCCTTAACAGTCTCTTTTCTCTAAACAAATAAGATTTCACGTTATTTCTTATTAGAAGCATTACTTTCCAAATCTTTACTCATCCTTATTTATTTTTCATCTTCAATTGGTTAACTCCAAAGGAATCTCAGAACTTACATTCTCCACAAAGGGTTTACCAGTGTGCACAGAAAGATAAATAATGAGATAAGTTTGTAAATACTTAACATAGAAAGGGTTTAACACATTCGTCTTTCTTTTTATTTGTAAATCTTTTTTTTGGTACCAGGGATTGAATATTTGTAAATCTAAATACCTCATCTCTTAAATGTTTGCCAGTTCCTCTGTAGTAGATCAGATAATAAAATACAGTATAGGGGCAGTTGAGAACTTAAACCAGAGTATCAGGATATGAGCCCAGTTCCAAATCAAACACGGTAACCCTTTCCAAGTTACTTAACCTGGGTAAGACTTATTTTTAGCCTCTGTAACTAAGGATTTTCAAAATCAAAGACGTTAATCCATGTAAAGCCATTAGGCTTTACGACTGATATTGTGTTCATTGGTAGCTAGAATTAGTTTTCTATTTACATTCTTGCTTTTTATTTACATTTCTCTTTTGGATGACATTTTTAGAATATTTATAACTACTGACTGCTTGTCAATCAAACTTCAAGTTAAATGTACATTTGTAATGATTATATTGGTAGAACAGTTTCATACTCTTTGGAAATAAAAGAATAGCAGAAAGATTAAAAGTTACTTTACTCTGCAGAAAGGTGGAGGAGGTGAAGGGTGCACAGGTAAGGGGAAAAAATCAGAACCAAGATACATCATGTACAGGTACAAGGATCCAGTGATAAATGTAAATGAATTGTATACCTAAAATGTACCAATAAAAGAATTTAAGAAAAAAAGTTAAAGATCAACTTTATTCATACTATTATCTTAAATTCTAAATAGTTGGCTATGATAAATATGATTAGTTGCCTGACTGACTATTATAGTTTGTATGATGATTCTTCATGAATTTTTAGGAAATCTGAATCTAGATTTTCTTGGCAGACATATTCAACCACTCTAATGTCATTCAATAATCTTTTGTGCAAAGCAAGATCTATGCTTCCAAAATATCATTTTACTCTCCTATAATTGAGTAGCAAGCATCATTAATTTAGTATTAATATTCACCATTGGCTTTTATTATTTCCATTTTTATGAATGGATAAATTCATAGTAGCTATGAACTTTAAATTAATTCTTAGGAATAATGCCTATAAAACACTTAAAAACCATCCACATGTGTACTGTTAGGTAATAAATGTACCGAGCATTTGTCCATGGAAAAAATCCTCCAAAATATCTCTATTTATCAATTTTGCCTGCAACTTATGAGAGTTGCCACATATATGTCAAAACAATAAAAAGAAGATATTTGACAGGATTTTGAGTTAAGTTTTTCAATAATTTTTACATGTGTTTTCTCTAAATAAATTCATCTTACAGGTATTCATCAAGGCAGAAGAAAAAGCATAGTCTTTTTCGTTTAATAATTGTTAGGTACATGTTACTTTTTCATCAACTTTGTTAAAATTTTAACATTACTTTTGTTCATCATTTAGAATTCATGTGAAAGCATTTGTTAAAAAACACATTTGAATTTTTTTTTTTTTTTTGGTACCAGGGATCGAACTCAGGTCCTTGCGCTTGCGCAGCAGGCGGCAAAACCACTGAGCTAAATCCC